AACCAGGGGGTTCTTGTTGAAGACGATGGTGAACTCGAAGCCCAGCCCCGAGCCGTTGGTGGCCGCCAGCGGGCAGGAGCTGGCCACGTGCATCACGAAGGCACCTACGAGGGGGGGGGGACATCGTTGTCACCCCCCGTGTCCCCCCTCATCACCACCCTCCGACCGTGTGTCCCCAAAAATCTCCTACCTGCCCCCCGGAAGCTCAGCGCCAGCCCCAGCACCCCCAGTGCCCACATGGCTGGCAGCGGGGTGGCTCCTGCGCTGCCCAGCCTTCATCCCCGCCGTGTGCCAGCTTCCTCCTCCTCCTCCTCCTCCTCCTCCTCCTCAGGGTTCATCCCCCCGGATTTGGTGCCAGGGCCGTGCGTCACCGGCGAGGGACCAAGCCAAGTGGACTGTGGCCCGGGGATGGGCTTGGCACAGCGGGCATCCCGTGCCCTGACTCTGTAGGGAAACTGAGGCAGGACTCCGGGGAAGGCTCTGAAGGGGGGTGTGATCTGGCTCAACCCCAATATCAGACAGCGGAGAAGCCACATCCCACCCTTTGTCATTGGGAAACTGAGGCACGACTCTGGGGATGGCTCTTTCGGGTTCTGAGGTGCAATCCAGCTGAACCCCAGTATGAGACAGCGGAGAAGATACAGCTGCACCCTCCCTGTGGCCACCTCCTGCCCCTTTCCCAGTGGGGAAACTGAGGCACGACTCCGGGGATGGCTCTGGAGGGGGGTGTGATGCGGCTCAACCCCAATATCAGACAGCGGAGAAGCCACTTCTCACTCTTTCTCAGTGGGGAAACTGAGGCACGACCCTGGGGGTGGCTCCTTGGGAGAGAAGGAGGGGGTGATGTGGCCCAACCCCAATACGAGACAGTGGAGAAACCACCGCTGTGTCCCTCCAAGGACACCTCTTCCCTCCCCCATCCTTTCCCAGTGGGGAAACTGAGGCACGACTCCAGGGATGGCTCTGGAGGGGGGTGTGATCTGGCTCAACCCCAATATCAGACAGCGGAGAAGCCACTTCCCACCCTTTGCCATTGGGAAACTGAGGCACGACCCTGGGGGTGGCTCTGGAGGGGGGTGTGATTCAGCTGAACCCCGATATCAGACAGCAGAGAAGCCAAATTCCACCCTTTGCCATAGGGAAACTGAGGCACGACTCTGGGGAGAGCTCTGGAGGGGGGTGTGATCCTGCTCAACCCCATATCAGACAGTGGAGAAGCTTTTCCTACACTTTCCCGGTGGGGAAACTGAGGCACGACTCCGGGGACGGCTCTGGAGGGGGGTGTGATCTGGCTCAACCCCAATATCAGACAGCGGAGAAGCCACATCCCACCCTTTGTCACTGGGGAAACTGAGGCACGACTCCGGGGACGGCTCTGGAGGGGGGTGTGATCTGGCTCAACCCCATATCAGACAGCAGAGAAGCCACTTCCCATCTTTTGCCAGGGGGGAAACTGAGGCACGACTCCGGGGACGGCTCTGGAGGGGGGTGTGATGCGGCTCAACCCCGATATCAGACAGTGGAGAAGCCACTTCCCACCTTTTCCCAGTAGGGAAACTGAGGCACGACCCTGGGGGTGGCTTTTTGGGAGGGAGAGAGGGGGTGATGTGGCCCAACCCCAATACGAGACAGCGGAGAAGCCACCACTGTGTCCCCTCAAGGCCACCTCTTGCTCCCCTCCCCCTTCCCGAGTGGGGAAACTGAGGCACGACCCTGGGGGTGGCTCTTTGGGGGGGGGTCTGAGGGGCTGATGTGACCCAACCCCAATAGGAGACAGCAGAGAAGCCACCACCATGTCCCCTCCAAGGCCACCTCCAGCCCAACCCCAACACGAGACAGCGGAGAAGCCACCACTGTGTCCCCTCCATGGCCATCTCCAGCCCAACCCCAACACGAGACAACAGAGAAGCCACCACTGATGCCACCTCCTGCTCTTTCCCGGTGGGGAAACTGAGGCACAACTCCGGGGATGGCTCTGGAGGGGGGTGTGATCCAGGTGAACCCCAATATCGGACAGCAGAGAAGCCACCACTGTGTCCCCCCAAGGCCACCTCCTGCCCAACCCCAACACGACACAGCGGAGAAGCCACCACTGTGTCCCCCCAAGGCCACCTCCTGCCCAACCCCAACACGACACAGCGGAGAAGCCACCACTGTGTCCCCCCAAGGCCACCTCTTGTGTCCCCTCCCTTCCCGAGTGGGGAAACTGAGGCACGACCCTGGGGGGGGCTTTTTTGGGAGGGGTAGGGGGTGTGTGATGTGGCCCAACCCCAATAGGAGACAGTGGAGAAGCCACCACCGTGTCCCCTCCATGGCCACCTCCAGCCCAACCCCAATACGAGACAGCAGAGAATCCACCACTGATGCCACCTCCTCTCCTTTCCCAGTGGGGAAACTGAGGCACGACCCTGGGGGGGGCTTTTTTGGGAGGGGTAGGGGGTGTGTGATGTGGCCCAACCCCAATAGGAGACAGTGGAGAAGCCACCACCGTGTCCCCTCCATGGCCACCTCCAGCCCAACCCCAATACGAGACAGCAGAGAATCCACCACTGATGCCACCTCCTCTCCTTTCCCAGTGGGGAAACTGAGGCACGACCCTGGGGGGGGCTTTTTTGGGAGGGGTAGGGGGTGTGTGATGTGGCCCAACCCCAATAGGAGACAGTGGAGAAGCCACCACCGTGTCCCCTCCATGGCCACCTCCAGCCCAACCCCAATACGAGACAGCAGAGAATCCACCACTGATGCCACCTCCTCTCCTTTCCCAGTGGGGAAACTGAGGCACGACCCTGGGGGGGGCTTTTTTGGGAGGGGTAGGGGGTGTGTGATGTGGCCCAACCCCAATAGGAGACAGTGGAGAAGCCACCACCGTAGGCCACCTCCAGCCCAACCCCAACACGAGACAGCGGAGAAGCCACCACCGTGTCCCCCCAAGGCCACCTCTTGTGTCCCCACCCCCCCTTTCCGAGTGGGGAAACTGAGGCACGACCCTGGGGGGGGCTTTTTGGGGGGTGTGATCCAGCTGAACCCCAACACGAGACAGTGGAGAAGCCACCCCCATGTCCCCTCCATGGCCACCTCCAGCCCAACCCCAACACGAGACAGTGGAGAAGCCACCACTGATGCCACCTCCTGCCCTTTCCCGGTGGGGAAACTGAGGCACGACCCTGGGGGGGGCTTTTTTTGGGGGGGGGAGGGGCTGATGTGGTC